GTTCTGTTTGTGTTGCAGATACTGGGCCTTCTGCCTCCACACCTGAGATTAAAGCAGAACCTGTAAACAGTCCGTCAAAATTCAAAACTTTCCCACATTCAGAGATTTCACTCCTCCCTAGCCCATTTTAAAAAACAGACATCATTCAGTTATGGCATCTAAATGAGACTTGGAAATTAAATCCAACCCCAGATTGAATATTTAAACCGAATAGGAAATTAATATTTATCCAGACCTGAAAAATACTTCAGTTTACCTCATAATGCATTCAAAAACTCACTAGTTTGTCTTTCTCGGGCATGGCCTTCCACACTTCTGCCAGCTTCTTGCTTAGCTCTCCAAAATCTGCAGATTACACACAGCGTTGCTACGAGAGTTTTCAGGTCAACATGAGGAAATAATGTCCATTTACCCACCTAAACCTGGATGCTCTGCATTTATGTTTACCCTGTACTCTTTACAAAACACCTGATACGCTGTCGTTGTCTTCTTCTTGGTCTACAAGAACAAAAGCACCCAATAAGAGGACAGGAAGTAGAAAAGCACCAAATAAGAGGACAGGAAGTAGAAAAAAACCTAAGAAACAAAAACTGAAATGAAACCTTTTCTTTATCCTTCTCGTGTTTGTCTCTGTCTTTATCCTCTTTCTTCTTCTTCTTCTCCGTCGTTCCGTCATGGCCTTGGTGGTGGGGAGTGATGGGTTTGCTCATGGCGTACATCGGCCCGACGGCACTATGGCTGACAGTGGGATGGGAGTGACTGTGGCTTCTCGACGATTCTGGGGAAAATAGCACAAAGAGGAAGACATTACAGGGTTTTAGACGGAGCACACCTCACACTCTGTTTTTGCTTCTGGTCAGCCGTGAAGCATGAATGGTTATCATGCGTTTCCATAGCAAACGGTAACCGAGGCGGCTGCAGTCAGATAGGAAAGCGTTGTGGTTTGCTGCTCTACTGCATTCATTTACATCAGAACTGAGAAGATATCCCAGGACAGGAAGTGCCTTCACAGCACTGAGTGTTTGCTCACCTGTCAGTGTTTTCCTTTTAGCTGTCATTCCTTATCATAGCGGGTTAATGTTTAACCCAGGAATGCTGTACATGACGTCAACATGTACATGATTTTATTGGTGGAATGGAGGCATTCCAGCATGAGAAAAGTGAGATAGAATCACAAAGACAGAGACGGAGTGAACAGTGAACTCACCTCCAAAACTTTTGCTGTGCTTCTTGTCCTTTCCACTTTTGTCCTTGTCTCTGTCCTTCTCCTTGTCTTTCTTCTTCTTGCTCTTCTTGCTCTTCTTCTTCTTTTTGGACATGTGTGTATATGAATCGTCTATGATCAGCTCCCCAGCCTCCAGTTCTCCACCGGATGACGAGCTATCGTCTCCCACGCCTCCTCCGTAATGACCTGATGAGGAGACGTATCAGCATTTAGAAGAAAACTAACATTAAACATGGCAGTGTCTGCAAACCACAGAATACAAGGAGCAGATCTAATTTAATATCATATCTGGAACAGGGACGCACCGATCTGCTGTTTTCACTACCGATACCTGAGGATATCTGAGGTTTGGTATCAGCCAATTTCAATACAGTACAGAAAGTTTACATATTTAAACCGATTCTATAAAGTTCTGACCTCCAATACGAGCAGCAAAGACGTTCGGCTTAAACACATTTTAAAATCGATTCTGGAGCATTTTGAATTAAATCAGAATTTCCAAGATTCTTTATAAAATCTATTTTATTGCACCTCCACTGGATGGAGCTACCCCTGGACCAGGCTCATTGGGGAATTTGTTCCCAACATGTGAACCGATGCAGGTGTTACTCTGGGATTGGTGCGTCTCGAATCTGGAAACATTTAAGTTTTGGGGGGTTTTTTTTACCTTCCACCTCCACCTCCTTCCCCACCACGGGCAGCGGCTCTCTGCTCTGTGCCGCCTTCTTCTTGGGCGACTTGGTCGGCTGCATCCTGTCTCTGTCCTTCTCCTTCTTCACGCTGACCTTGGACAGGTGCGGCGTCACTGGGAAGCTCTCGGGCTCCTCCTTCTCTGGCGACATGATGAGCTTCATCTTCAGCCCGTCGGCCTCACGTAGCGTCAGCGGCTCCTCTTTGGGAGCGCCGCCATGAAACAGGGACGACTTGGACGAGGAGGAGGAAGAGGAGTGCTTCTTGAAGGACGACGACGACGACAGAGACATGGGGCGGGAGTGCGACGAGGAGTGGCTCCCTTTGCTTCCGCCGCCGCTGCCCTCACGTTTGCGGTCCTTGGAGGAATGCGAGGAGAACGTCGGGTAGGAGGGCTTCTTGTGCAGGTGGGGGCTGGGGTCGGAGCCCGTCGCCATGGGGGAGGTGATGGCCTGCAGGAGGCCCATCGCCGTGTCCGCCGGGTGAGACGAGGACGGGGAGGACAGAGGCGGAGAGCGCTCTACTGACTTATGCTTCTTCTTATGAGGAGGCGGGCCTAAACCGTCATGATCTGACGGAGAAATGACAGTTATTCAAGATATTTGCCAAAGTGAAACATTATTGTGCATTTTCCAGCCACATAGTGTCATTTTCCAGCACAATCAATTAACTATGGTAACTTCAGTTGTTAAAAAAAAACCTATTTCTTATCAAATATGACCTAAAAGAAATTTGACTTTGTAATTTAAAACGCCTTGAAATTGGGCCTCTGTCTCTTTAAGAAGCTCCTGCTCTTTCTGAAACTCCGCCTTCAGGAAATCATCACAGCATGGCTCCTCTATTAACCCTTTAACAACGTTTTTACCAGCGCTGGACCAAGAAGTGGCTCCTATAAGATTGGAAAGGGCAGGAGGAACTTCGTCCTGGAAGGCGGAGCTAGATCCACCCAGGTGTTTTGCACAGCTGAATGGTTGCCATGGAAAATGAAAGGATTTCTCAATCAAGGTAACCCCCCTTATGTGTGTTTTTGTGGGGGAATAACATCATGACATGATGTAAAGCTCAAAAAAGTTGGTTTTACACAATACTGCCCCTTTAAGTCACATTATCACACTACACTGTGAATTTCATATATAGATATATTGACACAAAATAGTGTATAATTGTGGCGATTGATAGAAATCATACAGCTTTCTTCTCATTTTTTTAACCAATAAAAATTTAAAAAGTGCTGCACCCTTCTGAAGTTACTACGGTGGTGGCAGAAGCATGCTGTGGGGACGCTTTTGGACGCTGTCAGAAGAAAAACTAAACATGCCGTATTTTCCAGGCTGTAAGTCGCAATTTTTTTCCACAGTTTGGCTGACCTTGTGACTTATATGATTTTTTTCTCTTCATGAGTCATTTTTTAACTGATGTGACTTACAGTCCAGAAAATACTGTAATTTTAATTAGAAATAAGATAACATAGTAGAAATTATCAAGCACCCTAAACACACAGCCAAAGCTACAATGAGAGGATTTAGATGGTAATGATCATATCTTGGATCATTACCACCCATTCCTGGGCCATTCCACTTTGACTGGAATGGCCCAGTCAAAGTCCTAAATCCCTAAATCCAATTAAAATCTACACCAAGACATAAAAAGTGAGGTTCAAAGAGGCCTTCAATTCATTTTGCATGAACTTGTATCATTTTGCGAACCAGAATGAAAAAAAAAACAAATTAAATCCTTATTCATCAAAGTTTTAACCTCTCACCTCGGTAATAGTGGTCGTCACTGTGCTTCTTCTTCTTCTTGTGCAGGTCTCCTCCCAACATGAAAAGCTCTGAGTCCTAATTTGAACAGATGCAACACATTTTACACCACTGTAATCAGCATTAGCATAAACTTACAGTGTGTGAAGACAAATCCCTTACCTTTGGTCGTTTCTTGGAAGACTTTCGTACTTCTGCAGCGATCTCTTCTTCCTCTCGTAACAGATCCTTGTAGGATCTCCTCTTCTCCCTCTGACTACGCCCAGCAACGAGGCCCCCATCTGCCCCCATCTCTAAAATATGACATTTATTTGTCCAAAAATGCTTTAGAAAAGGCAGAATTGCCTTGTATTAATTTTCCCATCATTGCTTAAGACATTCTCCTACAGCATGATGCTGCTGCCATCACATCTGAAATAGTAATATAACCAATAATTTCTTTACCCTTTAACTCCTCATATGCCATGGCTTCCTCTTGGTCAGCTCTTTTTCTTGTTTTGGGATATAGGCAGCTCTGAAATTAGCATAAGGACCTGTCAAATAAAAAAGATGGAACCTAAAGTCAACTTAAAGAGTGAAACCAGTTCAGAGTGGAAAAGGTTCTGTCATTACCTTGCGTGAATTCTAGACAGACTCCAACCAGGAAGATCAAGGAACAAACTCAAAGTGCGACTAACTCAGGAAAAATATTAGCATTGGGATTGTAAATGAAAAGTCCGTCATTCATTAAGCCGGTAACAAACTGTAAGCTAAACTAATTCCCGCCTCCTTTCGTTAAGATACACAAACACACCCCCTTCCTTTTCACTTAGACTCTCCACAGCCAGCACATTCCAGTCTTGCGTCTCTCTACGCCAGTTTGCAGCCAACTGACCGGTGACGGCGACTCAGGAAACACTGAGGCTTTGCCTAAAAGCTAGGCCGCGCTCGCTGGAAAGTGAACTACAAAACGCGCTGGACATGCATTCACCCCTTTTATACCTTTATCATCTATTGCTCAGTAACATATGTATATCACAAGCACTGAAACGTGAAAAAACCCGCGTTTGTTCAGTTTTACTACCTCAACAGAGACCTCCAATTTACGCGGGTCCATTCGCCATCTTTATTGTCGGCAAAACAATTCAACTGAAAGAGGCGTGGCTTTTGCTGACGCAGCCAATAAGCGTGGGAGAAATGTGAAACTTTTACATTTACATCCGCTAATGTTCCGTTGCTACTTTTTGACAGTAATGAATGACACCTAGTGTTTCGTTTATTACCCAGGTAACAAAATATTCTCATATGAATATTAGTTTGAATAAAGCTGTCAAAGATAGAAACAATCAAAGTCAACGTACTGATTTATTGGTACATAATGAATTTCAAATATTCTTTACAACACAGTTCACAGAATCATTATGCTCAGTTTAAAAAAAAAGAAATAAGGCAATAAAACAAAGACACTTTGACACAAAAATAAGATACACCAGTTAAACTGTCAACCCACTGTATTCTGTAATAATCACAGTATATTTAATGAGTAGAAGGCAAAAAGAAAACATGTAAATCAGTCCACACAGTAAAGTCATAGTTCCACCAGACTTTAGAGTTTTTCCCTCCCGTTGTTTAAAAGTTGAACGACATTTTATCAGAGATGCACCAAAACCTGGTGACCAGAACTAAGGAGACGTGTCCAGCCAAGCATTACGACCAAACTTAAAATCCAACCTATTTTCCAATCAATTAGCCGACCACGCCAAAAGGTCAAGCTATCGACTCTCTTCAGTGTAGCAGCTGTTATTGAAAGAAGATTGGGAGTTACTCTTTTGAAGAGCCTAGCGCAGACATTTAGAAATGTTAGTCGTCTTCAGAAAATCTTACAGCAAGCATCATCCGCAAGAAATACACACTGAGATTGATCATGTTAGTAATACTAACAGCACTAACTACTGGTGAAGGACATGAAAACGGCTTAAAACATCGTCTTTTTTTAAACAACTGTTTAACTGCGGAGCTGAGTGACACCACTGCTCTCTCCGTCTCTTGCACACATAGACCCGATGCGATGTTGGTTCTGGTTCTAACAGAACTGCGTAATGAGTGACTTCTTGAGATTCCTGTACTAGTTACAGGAAATGTATGAATAATTTAATAATTTGACATCTGGCATTTAATTAAAGATTGTTTTTTTTCCCTCATTCAAACATTACGTTGGAAACAGTTGATATTTATACTGAATGCAGATTCCTTGCCGGACAAAATAATATCTTTCATGGCAAACTTTGACATACATTTTGAAGTGTGCTTAAAAAAAAGTGAGTTATCACATATGCAGAAGAATTCGGCTGTATTCAGAGTTTTTTTTTTAACTTTAGAATAAACATTTTATACGGACAGATATATTTTTAATTTATTCAGACCTTGTAATAAATATAGTACTGGATAGTAACAGATATTGTTAAGGTAGGCCAGAGCTTTGAAAAAATCTGATGCGTTTATCTCTGATACTTATCAATACTTTTTTTTTCTAGAATTTAAAGGTCAGAGTATTTTACCCATAATATCAGTGGTTTTATATCAAGTGAGCAACTTGACAAAACCCATTTAGAAAACTTCATAAGATACATTGTTGTTAAAGCTTTTGTTTTTGTCCTGGTTAAAATAAAAAGCTGATGTCCGCAGCAGTCCCTTCAATAAATACTGACAGCCAATCCCAGTGCGACGTTTGGATCTGTGGCCTCGTAGCCGAATACAGACAATTTGAGGCTCTGCATATTTAAAAAGGAGCTGCATGTCGGCTCTGTGTGCAGTTCATCTTCTACCTAGCATCCAGGTTCTGCTTCTGTAGACTAAGCGATGTAAAACTGGCCAGTAAATCAGTCACTTCGTCCACCTGAGAGAGAAAACAGAAAAGTAAAGCTGTTTAAAAGTTTCATTGTGAACAGAGTTAAATGAAAAACACCTGACGACCGTCTCGTTCACCTGCTCTCTGGTGCGTGTGTGCTGCAGCTGTGTTGAAATGTGCTCCAGTCTTTCCTTCGCCTCACTTTGGCCCATTAGGTTCAGGTACTCTCTGAGCATCTGGATAATCTGCATGGGGGGAAACGGCAGGTGACGCGTTGGGAGCGACGCGAGCGAGCCAAGGCCCTGGACTGACTTCGTACCTGGGTGACTTCCCCTCGGAGGGTCTCCAAGCTGCGCGATTCTCCTTCCTGCAGAATGTTGAGCTTGGAGCGCGCCAGGTGCAGCGGGGTCCGGCCTGCGCGGTCGAGGGCGTCCACGCGAGCTCCTGAAGAGAAACGACAAAGAATGAAAAACCTTCTAATTTCAGGCATAAAAAGAAGTTTATCAACTTATTTTGAAAATCCACCTAAATTCTGACAAACATTTTACAGTCTTTATATTACCTAAAATATCATTTTAGCTGGATGAAATTACATGTTTGAAGAAAAACACTTAAAAAGTTTAGAACAAGCTTTAGCAAAACTTAACATATGTGTTTTGATTGTGGTAACTGTGGTAACTGCAGTTGTTACAAAAATGCAATATATTATGAAATAAAGTAAAGTAAAATAAATTTCACTTGATAACTTAACACCTTGAAATTGGGTCTCTATCTCTTTAAGGATCTCCTACTCCTTCTGAAACTCCGCCTTCAGGAAATTATCACAATATGGCTCCTCTATTAACCTTCTAACATCGTTTAACTAGCTGGTATAATGAGCTCAGCAGATGTGCTGTTCTACCAGGTGTTGGCTAATTCCTGCAGACTAGTCTGAAGGAGCTGAGCAGAGGAGGGCTGCTCTGTGAGGCAGAAGATGGAAACTGGAGGAGGAGCTTTGTTCTGGAAGGCGGGGCTAGATCCATCAAGACATTAAAGGATTTCTTAAACATTCATGAAAAAAAGAAAAAAGTCAAGGCCACATTCCAGGTATGGTTTTGATGAGGGAATAACTTGATGTAAAGCTAAAAAAAGTTTATTTTACACAACACTGGCCCTCTAAATATAGTTTTCCAAGTTTGTGAAAATGATTATTGATTATCGCCTTCTCTTGTTTGTTCATTTTTACTGTTTTAGTTTTTGGCGGTTTAATAGTTTTCATTTTAGCTAGCAGTTCAGTTGAATGCTACTAGCCTACTGAGTTTATTTATTAATGCACTTTAACTGGAAGGTTGAATCATTTTTGAAAATAAGCTCCTATATTTTGCACGTACAACTCGCTGTTTGAAAATCATCGGTGCTGAACTCGAATCCTTCATCTATTGTATTTAATACCTAAGCCTCATCAGGCAGGTATTCATTCTTTAGTAATACTCATCCAAGTTACTAACTTTGTTAATAATTGCCTGTGGCGTTTAAAAATAGTTATTCATAACCAAACGCATTGTTGCACAACAGTGAGCAGTGATAATAATAAAGTCAAAACTCAAACATGCAAGTTTTCTACAAAACGTCTCACCTGATCTCAGCAGGGTGGTGATTACAGGCACGTGGTTGGTACAGGCCGCTGCAGGGACACACCATGAAATGGGCAGAAGTTGAAAATAAAAATTTAAAAAAAAGTTACGAAATACATAAGGTTTACAAGAACATAACTGAAGCATTGCTTTGGGCTTTTAGGTGCAGGTTGACCTTTAAGAAAACCAGCTTAGTAAAAACCACAGTCAGGCATTTTCAGCCACAATATCTCCAGGTCACAGGTCAGGAGGGTGGTGTTGGTCTTACCCAGGTGCAGAGGGGTATTTCCCAGGCTGTCTCTCTGGTTGGGGTCGGCACCATAACTCAACAACAGCTGCACTAAAGCAAGACGAGAATATCTGACATTAAACGTCATGTTCGCAAGGTGGACGGCGTGTTAGGATTAATGTAAATAGGAAATAAAGGAGAGAAAATTTCCACCAAAAAACTTGAGATTAATCTCAGAAGTATTTGAGGAAAAGAAGAAAATTTCTGAGCTTGAAAACTCACAAATTTTTGACTTTTGAAACTCGGTATTTCACACTTTTTTTTTTGTTAATTTCTAAGTTTGATCTCAGCTTTTTTTTGTTTTTCATAGCAAGTTTTTGACTTTGCAAACTCAAAAACTTCCAGGTTTTTTATATTAAATTTTTGAGATTAACCTCTAAATTTCTTTTTGTTTCGTGCAAGTTTCTGGCTTTGTAAACTCAGAAAATCCCGTGTTTTTTTTTTCTAGAAAATTTCTAAGATTTATCGGGAAGAAAAAAAAGTTAGTTTTTGGTTTAGCAAATTTTTGACTTTTCAAAATCACGTATCTCCAAGTTTTTTCCTAGAAGATTTTTTTTAGATTAATCTCAATATGTCAGAGTTTTGGGTGTGCAGGGGTTAAGCACAGCCCATGTATGGAGGCCATAGTCCTCAACGTGGCCGTCGCAGGTTCGATTCCCGGCCTGGCGACCTTTGCCGCAGGTCTTTACCCATCTTTACCCAACTTTCCTATCAATTAACTATCAAATAAAGGCCACTAAAGCCAATAAAACCTTAAAAAAATAAAATAAAAAAAAATGTCAGTGTTTTTTCTAGCAAATCTCCAACTTTTCAAACTCAAAAATGTCCAGTTAATGTTTTAGTAAATTCCTGAGATTAATATCAAAACTTTATGTTTTTTTGTCCTAGTAAATTCTTGACTTTTTTTTCTATCTACAACGGCCCTAACACGTCGTCATAGTTATCCGATGCCAGTAACGAACCGATGCTGTCGTTGCCATTGCAGGATGAGAAGTGAAGCGCCGTCCGGCCCTTGTCGTCTGCAGCACACGGGTCGATGTCATCCTGCAGGAGCTTTCGCACTTAAAAAAAAATAAAACACAGGAAAAAAAAAAAAAACATAATCTTTTTTTTATTCCGAACCTTTGAACTGTGTCACCTGGTCACTCATACCTGTGTCTATGTCATTGCTGTTGGCAGCTTCCCTCAGTCTTTTAGCAGCTGTGGAAAAACATGGACAGAATTATGATTTCACCAACAGCCTAAGTTACAAAATGTAGTGTTATTTATGTAGATATACATGTAAATTAATGCAATAATAACCACATTTAATTTTTTTATTATTATTTCCAAGCAACATTTTACTTTTTAAACATGTATTCTGTACAGATAACGTGCAAATTACTTTTATCCCCAATGTAATATTTCTCAGCTTTAACACTAATATCTAGTGTACATTTTTGATATGGTCAATGTGGCTCTCTGCCCCGGGCGGCAACGTATAAGGGGCCAATGGTAAAAATGAATAAGACGTTTTCTGTCATTTTACACTCTGGCAAAGTTTTCTGTTACTGACTTGCAGGGAGCTGAAGTTAGTGTCTGATTCACAGCATTAAAGGGCTATTTCAATGTTTCTGAATGTATTTATCCATAAATCTTACATATACACTGGTTAAACTTAAACTAAGTAGCTCAACACTAAGCCCAGATTCTGTAACAATTTAAGATTAAGAAAACTTTTATTCTAAATGGAGTGACACAAAACATTGGTACTTAAACCTATAAGTTTAAGTAAAGGTTAACTTTTACTTAAGTATCAACTTTGATACTTAAATTATACATTGTACCTTCTTATTGCCAGTATTATTTATTATTCTGTTACTTCCTTATTTTCGATTATATAAGATGACTATTTTCTGATTTATTTATTTTTAGCTCTCCAATATATATATATATATATATATATATATATATTTGTCCCTGTACACGAATATTGCAAAGTGACAGCTGAAGACATGATTGGATTTGTTCAGTCTGAATGTGTCGTCTGGCATTTATAGCATGATTTATAGGTTTTTGCTATGTGGATGCTAAGAATTTTGAATTCAGGTCCGTTTCGGACTGGACGGTCCCTCTTACCGTAAATGTCTTTCCCAATGGGACCCAGGTTCCGCACGGCTCGCTGGTGTCTCCTGGCCCTGCTCCCCGCTATCTTCCCCAGCCTGCTCGATTCGGCGACCGTGTCGAACTCACCTCGCCCCGGCTCCCACAAAAGGTGCAGGTACCTGAGCTCTTTGTCGTCTCTAGATCCGACTCGACCCAACACCATTTTGCCTTCCCCTATCCCACTGATACCGAACCCCACAGATGCTGCTGCCGCTTCTGCGCCCAAGTCCTCCATCCTTTCTGCGGAGCTCCGCGGCTCCGCGCCCGCCGCTTCCCGGGTCTCACCTCCGGCTCCGTATCCAAGCATGCATTCCCCGTCGGAGATGGCTCGGTCATTTTCCGAAACAACGACAGAGCTCCATCCGTCCATGTTTTTTTTTTTCCCCGTTACATAGGTAGCTCAGTTTATAATAGTGTATCCTTACAAGTTCTACCAGCCAGCGCTCGGGAGGAAACACGGCTCTCAATAGAATTTGGAGGCAGCCATTAACGTACCGTCACTAATAAGTCTGGGAGACATTGCATGAATAGTTATGATCTCTCTTACCAAACAAGTCCTGTCATATCTTACGTTCAACTATTAAAACAAAACCTTTCAACCAAGATGTCAGCTATTTTACAATTCATATGTCGTTGTGTCAAAGTAGTTACAGAGACAGCTATTGGACAATGATTAGCTTCAAAGATCTAACAACCAATCAGAGTTCATGATATTTATACGCTACTCTCCACTAGCGTCAACCCACAAAAGCAACCAATCACAAAAGCAGTGGGGGACCAATCAGCGTCCAATAGGAGCTGAAAATATGGTAGCGAGATAAAAGTCTGTACGTCAACGTCGCCGCCATATTGTGGGTGATGTTTTAGTTGAAACGTGCAAGAAAAAAATCAGTCTTACTATTCAGGGAAAAGGAAATAATAGGAAAGATTTTGTATTAGAAATTTAGCACAGTTTATTTAGGTTACACAAAGGTGGCACTGATAGTTGGTTCTGTCGGGTACCGTCACATGATGAAGGTGAAAAGGGCAATAAAAAGGCAAACAAATTTAGTTAAAAAGGTTTTAGAGCGGGCAATAGCAATTGCAATTCCTTTTGGGGAAAGGGGAGTTAAATTAAGAGTAAAGAAATACAATTATGGCAACAAAAAGGTATATTGAAGATAAGAAAGAAGGGAGTTTATATAAAATACAAAACTCAATGTTAGTCAAAAGTAGAAGGAAATAAATAATGATGAGATTAAGAGTAGGTCATATATTTTTAAATGACATTTTATGTCTAATTGGGAGAAAACCTCATGATTAATATGAAGGTTGTGGGAGAAAGGAAATGTAGAACATGATGAATTGTAAAACATGAGCCTGAAAGGGAGAGCTTGAGAAAAACAGTAAGAAGGACAGGAATGGAGTATTAAATGAATACTGGGAACTGAAGGAACAGTGGATATTTAGAGATTAATTACTATTATTATTTATTTGCATAATTTATCTGAAAAATAGAATTTAATGAAAAAATAGAATTTAATCGATGTAAAGTTGCTACACACTCATGTACAGCAGGTGGCGGTATGCACCTGAAAGTTGCTTGCCAACCGCCATAATAGAAAAGAAACACATGCATGTACATGTGTATGTACAGCTCTTAATATTATAAAACTAAAAAAAAAAACATGGTAACTGGCTTTTGTAAGGTGATTCTGCCTCTCACTGACTGGTTGTCAATACTGAAAAAGGCATTATATACCGTATTATGTATGTTAAACTCAGGTAAAATATGAATAAAACAACATTTGTGAAACTCAGTTGTATAAAAACTAATATTTTAACATTATAATTAATCTTTCAAGTAACAAGTAACATCTTCCAGTGACCAGCAATATCTTTGCAACCAGCAGGTTATAACATAAAAAAAACTTGCAAAAGCAAGGATTCAATGGAAAACCACTTTTGTTTTAGTCTAACATTGCCTAAAAATTAAGAAGAACAAAGTTTTGAGTTGAAAAAATTGCCCATGATGGCAGTAAAGATAAATTTCTCTAGCATAAGGATAAAATATTTGATCTTCTTGAGAAAATGGCAAAAGTGCTGTGGCATATTCCAGCAGTTGTAGATATGGAAAAGAAAAGGGAAAAGTTAATTTCCTCCAAAAAACTTTGACATTTTTAGTTTAATCTCAAATTTTCTAGAAGAAGTTGTAAATTTCAAACAGCTTTCTCGCAAGTTTTTAACTTCAAACACATACATTTCCAAATATTTTTTCTAGAAAATTTCTGAGATTACTCCCATAATTTCAGAGTTTTTTTTGGCAGAAATTTACCCTTTGCTTTATTTTTTATATTCCATCTACAATGGCTATAATACGCCGATGTACAAAACATTATTTTGTGGGTAATACAATCAGAGGTCAAGCGTCCAGAGGACACGGACGCTCCAGCTGATGCCGGGTGGCTTGGAAAAGTGGGGTTTGCTCCCGTCGACGTTCCGGCGGTGACTTGCCCGGCTGGCACCTGGTGAGCGCTGCGGCTCGGCGCGCTGCGCCGCGCGACGCCCTACCGAGCCAAATATCCCTGCTGACAAAACAGCGGCGGCTTACGGTGCGTGAGAGCTGAGCGGAAACAGTTTTCTGGAACGCAGGAGGAGACACAAACAAAGGTGAGGAACTTATGAAGAGGATTAAAGAGAAACTGAGCTGAGGAGTTTGCCTTTGAAAGGTGTGGTTCAGAAATCTTAACTGAATGTTTACACAAGACCAGGAAGATGTGGTGGAGTTCAGGTATTAAACACTTCTTCAGGATGAAGGGTTGCTGCCGCGATCAGCTGAGGCTCCTTAGAGGAAAAAGTCTTAACCGGTTGACATCCAAAACTGAGACAATCTTCTATTATAACTATCGCAAAACTTCTAGAACATTTCGGTGTTCTCTAGAAAGGTTCTGAAATTAATCTCAAATTTTCAGAGTTCTTTGGTAGAAATGTACTCCTCTTTCTGCCCCCATCAGCCCTGCTACGCTGTCATAGTCTTCTTAAGTTCACATGTTTTTGTGAATCCTCTCTTACATTAAATTGTATTAAACTGAATGCACACAAGCACATAAAGAAACAATACATGCTCTGCTTTTTCATCATTTGAGCCTTGAAATATGTGCATTTTTTATAGTTACTGCTTTTCTTGTCTTCCAGATTCCTACTTAGAAATTTTTAAGAACTCAGAATTTTGAGGACATTTTTGTTCTAAGTTAATAGAAAAGATCTTGATTTCCACTCGAGTGATTCTACCACAACAAGTTGTGATCTTAATATTTTATAGGGGAGAGGAGTTCTGGGTAAAACATTTTTACTGACATGTTTTTTTTTATCTTAAATGTAAAATTTCTATAATTTTTTTATTTTTGCAAATATCTGGCTTAATTACTCCTGAGTGTCTTGTTCTTTCAGTAAATGGCCTTTTTTTGAGTGCACTGAATTAATCGGTTATTAAATTAGTTGACGATTAATTCAATAATTGATTAATCATTTTAGCCCGAGGAGGACGAAAACCAAAATAGTTTAAATATCGCTCAGCCGTTTGTAAAAGATTTCCTTAATTTTTGGTGCTTGGTGATCAGCCAAAGCTTAGACGTGGAACCTGACTCGTCTAGCGATCTTATCTTCTGACATGTCTGCACATGTGCGATACACAATAGTCACCTCACTGCTGCTAACTTAGCAACTTTGTCGCTACATCCAGCAACTTTTTACACCAAAAAAAAATCTGTGTAGACTTTTTAAAGATCGGCGATCGGCCGGAAAACTACAATCGGTGTGCCCTAATATTTTCATTCAACTAAATAGTGGGAAACCCTCCCGACTCCACTAAGGGACAAGGGTGTAAAGAAAATGGATGGATGGATAAATAGTAGGAATGTTGATTTTGATCACACCAGGAAAAGTTAGGAGTAAATCATACGCTCTGTGTAAAGAACAGACCTACCTGTGCTGAAGGCCCTCAGGTCAGAGTGGACGCAGTGCTCCAGGAAGCGCCGCAGTGGCTGGATGTGAGACAGCGGAGTGTCCCACTCTGTGAGGAAGTCCTCAACCATGTGATGAATCGCCTTCGGCCTCGGCAAAGGCCAGCCGTGGGGACGCGTCTTCATGTCCTGCGCTGTAATAGAGACAAAAATAAGTAAAAATAAACCCAAATTAAAACTGCAATGCCTCATCACGACGGCAGGATCCATACCCGTAGGGAGCGAGTCGTAGTAGTATAAAACTGGGTGGAGGAAGTTGGATTTCCAAGCCTGGGTCCAGTCGGTTTCTGACCTGCCGAGCCCCAGGTTGTCTATCTTCCTCTTCCCGTACTGCATGACCAGAACTATCAGTCCCTGACTGGACACGTCATGGCCAGAGAGAGAGGAGAACCGGGGCAAGGCCTGGAGCAGAAACTCTTCCACGTACTCACAGTGGGAGCTAAAAGGCGAGGAAACAAGGCAACATGCAAACAGTGCAGAAAGGAGCCACGGAAAAGACACGCGATACGTTTTAGTCTGACAAATAAAGAGTATGAACATTTAGGAAGCATTACTGTAACTAATGATTATTTTAGCTATTAATTATCGTCACCTTTATAACAGTGGCCCGAGTCATTTTTTTTAACTAAAAGATGATTTAGGCAAAAGAAAAAAAAAACATTTAGGCCATTATGTTAGGAAGGTGACATTATTCTGTAAATTTTTCTGAAGATTGATCGATTAATCAGATAAAAAATTGCCACATTTGGCTGATTTTTCATTGAACCTTTTTTAATGTTAGAAATACATTAAAATGTGTAAATAAATAACTCAATTCCTTTTTTAAATAAGCAAATAAACATTTTGCTGCCTAAAATGCAATAGCAGTTTTCCATAAGTGAACATGTGACAAGCAGAAAGTTTAGAGCTGAGTGGATTAACTGATTAATAATTAGGTAGCAAAAGATTTATTTATTTTTATTTTTTACAGATTTTCAAACCTGGTGGAACTAAAACTGCCACTTGAGGAGTTCTGGGTGAAACATATTTACAGACAAATATGTTTTTTTTTTTTCATCTTAAATGCAAAATATATAAATTCATTGCATAGTTTTGGCTTAATTACTTTCCTGAGTTTGGTTCTGCTTTCAGCAAATGGCCTTTTTTAGACTCTGTATACTCCAGTTAGCGATAGATCGGTTACTAAATTAGTTAGCGATTATTTCTGTAGTCGACTAATCAGGATTAATCAGATTAATCGTTTCAACCCCCAGTAGCACAAATAGCAAGACACAAGCAAAAGTATCTATAAACTCATAAACTGTTCAATTCACTGGTCTATTCTGGCCAATTCTGACATCTTCTTCCATGTTTGCAGGTTAACCGCTCCATGGTTAACCTGCAAAATGGCCGCCGAGTAAACAACGATCAGGGAATCATCTCCTCACCCTCGGAGAAGAATAACATCCCCGAGCGTCTCGAACATCTGGTACGGTCCGGAGGCCTCCCCGACCCGCTTCAGGATCCAGGACATCAGCTGCGTCGTCATAAGTCTGGTCGACGGCCACTTGTTGCCATGGTGACGGTATTCCAGCACACGGTGAACGGCTCGGGCTGAGACAGAGAGGTCAAGAGCCTTCTTTGAACATTTAAATGTTGTGAAGGGACAGAAGTGTTGCAGCTGGGCGCT